CCCCCCACTACCATGATCTCAATTCTGTCTTACAAATCTGGTTAGACCAGAACATGTATACAGGTCAGATAAGAGCTTGCAACACAAGGAATTCAGAGTAGATAAACCCCTCAGGACCAATAAGAGGAGCGGCGATACTAGGAGGATAAGGGTGGGGGTGGGGGGGGAGTAAGGGGAAGCCTATCATAATGATCTTTGTATGGCTCCCCTACCAGGGGGATGGACAGCAGAAAGGTGGCTGAAATGAGACAGCTGTTGGTGTTAAGTCATGAAAAAAAAAAAAAGATAAATTATCAAGGGGATATAGGGGAAGAACGGTGGGGGAGGGAGAGGGAAAAATGATCTGATGCCAGCTGCTTAAGTGGAAAGAAAATGTTTAGAAAAAGGATGACAACATATGTACAGATGCATTTGACACAATGGATATATGTATGGCTTATGATAAGAGCTGTAAGAGCCCCTGATTTAAAAAACAATGACTGTGGTATAGAAATGGCCGGACACAATTAAAACAAAAATCCATCAGTAATGTTTTGAATGCCTGGAATTTTCAGAGGGATTTTTTGTAGTGAACACCGTGAGTATGTGCTTCGGACTGTAGGCAAGTGTGGCCGTCAGCACTCACCAGATCCTACGCCTGGAAGTATCCACTCGATGAAAGGCATTCGTACGAAAGTAGGTGCTCGTTTGCTTTTCTCAATATCTCCATTATTTTGTATTAAGTCCACAATCTCCTGAGTCCATGTTGTTCCTTATTCCACATAGAAGAAGAGAAAGCACAGTCATTTAGAGTGACACAGTACTTACAATATAATCAGATACTAGCTAGAATTTTAAAGTTGTATGTATAAAGATTCAGAAAGCATCATTCCTTATTTACGTCTTATGCTTTCATAATTTGAATTTTATAGGCCCTAAGTTGGACTGGACATTAGCTTGATCAATATACAACTGTATATTGTATATTTATTTATTTTCTGTCACGACCACAAATTGGCAGTGTCATCCTCTTGAGTTAGATGCATTGTTCCTAAAGGGAGAATGAAATAATTTGAAGATTGTGATCTAGAGAGTCCTGATTGCATGGTTTTCAAACTGTTTTCCAGAGTACCGAGCTGTGACATAAGAAGCACTTGGTATATGCTGGCTGAATGAATGATTATTGCCGGGGCTTGATATTCAAAATCAGCACTCAGTATCTCTTTTCACCCTTTTCTTGGCTTTCCACTTATATCAGGGGCCAAAAAGTTAAAATGTGCCTTTCCAAAACTTTTTTGTCCCTCTGATTCTAGGTGCTATGTAGACTTCTCCAGTGTACAACATGAGCCTGAGAGTTGGAAGGCAGAAAGGAGGTCGAGGTCAAATGTTTTCTAAAGAAGGTGGTGCATGCAATGGCTCTCAGCTAGAAAATTTTGCAGAGGCCTTTCCACTGCCCAGGACCCTAAGCAGAGTAAGATCCATCACCACTGCTACCACGTCTGCAGAAAGAGGGACCGTTGACTCTTACGTTTAGTATGTTTCTGTGCCTCCTGCCATCTCCTGACCAATTCCATGTGGGAAGTTAGACAGTTTATTTTATTTACTTTTCAACTGAGCTATGAGTAATGTATCACACAATTCCATGGCTCAGTCCTATTAAGAAGCGCTGTGGAGTCATTGCCATCATCGACTCTGGGATCTTTTACAAGTTAATGATCTATTCCCCCACCCTTTCCTTGCATGTCCCCAAGTACTAGTGATCATCAGTTCCATCACTGTTTTCATAATTCCACTCATCCCATTTTCCTATACAGATAAATATGCAAGACTCGGCAGACAACAAGCAAGGGTCCATCAATAATGACCATACAAAACAGATAGAGACCTCAGTCTAAGAGAAAGCAGAGACTTAAAACTTTAAATAATTTCACATTGGTTCCATAAGGAGGTCAAATTCCAAGATGTTACATTTCAGTTGAAGTCCAGTTGCTAAAAATCTACTTTACAATGCTCTTTGTTTGATATCTGGTGGTTGATGGTTCGAGCCTATGTGCGTCGGAGACCCAGCTAATCTCATGTAGGGACCAGGCAAATGAATTTTGGGCTACCATTATTGTCCATAGCTTTCTGTAAACTGGGTCTTTAGCATTTAAACCCTGGTATTGTTCCCTTCTCCAGATTTGGGTTTTATTATTATCTTTGGATCACATAGGTTTGTGTGCTTCTGCTGTGTGGATTTAGCTGACTCCTCATTTAGTTGGCTGCTTGTTTCGAGAGAAGCCTTTAAAACCCTAGATCAGTGGTTCTCAACCTTCCTAATGCTGCTACCCTTTAATACAGTTCCTCATGTTGTGGTGACCCCTCCAACCATAAAATTATTTTCATTGCTACTTCATAACTGTAATTTTGCTACTGTTATGAATCAGGCAACCCCTGTGAAGGGTCTTTTGACACCCCCCCAAAGGGGTCGCGACCCACAGGTTAAGAACCGCTGCCTTAGATGTTCTTATTCATGATACCTGGGCACCATCTGTTTCCACACTCTGGTATGGAACTCACTTCTTCAGTGATCTCTTCATGGGGGCGAGTACCAGGCAGGACCATGGGATTTCTGACATTTTTAAGGTTGCTTTCTGAAATAATCTTAGTAGTCCTGCTTCCTAGATATAGGTTATTTTCCCTATATTCTTGGCTCTCATCTCCCATTACAAATCTTTTTTCTTTGACACTCAATTCAGCACTTTCACAGTCTATAGTAAGGGCATTGTTTTATGTTTTAATCAAAACAGAGAAAACCACTGCCATAGGGTTTCTGAGTCTAAATCTTTACTGGAGTCTCATCTTTTTTCACCAAGAACAGCTAGTGGGTTTGAACCGCTGACCTTGCAGTTAGCAGTCTAAGATTTGTCCTATATCACCACCAGGCCTCCTTAGATTAAAAAACAATAAATAATTATATTTATAATCTTATATAATAAGTAATTAAATTATTATATAAATAGTACTATGTCTTATATGGGTTGATCTTCCATATTTTCTGTCATCAAATATTCTTTCACTATTGGACAAAGCACCCAAAATTTTCCAGCCATATACTTAATGAAATTAGATGATTTGTACTGGTTTTATATTTAATTTTATGCATTAGCTTTATAAATTACTCTGACAGTTTCATAATGGGCTAACATTGGAGTAGATTTAGGGATGAGGTAAATGATTTCCCATTTTACCCTTTAATGGGCAAAATGATCTTTCTACACTTATCCTGAGCAGATGCCATTATTGCTTCAAAAATTTAGGTGTTGGATCATGATTTTTATCACTGATGTTTATTTCTTCTTCTAGTTAATAAAAATAACTTAATGCATGTATAAAGTTTTAGTGATGATTATTATAATTTTTACTTTAGCTGGCAAAGCATTTTGCTTTTGAATTTTCTATTTGGGTATTTTTCAAGTACAAAATACCACTAATGCTCTGAAAGCCCTTTGTGGACCATCCCTAATAGCAGACACAGAAAAGATGAACTTTTGCCAGTATCCTGAAATCGTGAAACTCAAACAGAGTTGTAGGTTTTAGGAATGCAGTGAGAGCAGTGTCATTTGATCCTAGGCGGAGTCTACTTTTATTAGTTACCGTTTAGGTGATGGGCAGCGTCCTGGTGGCACAGTGGTCACAAGTGGGTCACACGTGTAACTGAAAGGCCAGCAGGAGATGGATGAGACTACTTTCCATTCCCATCGAGAATGACAATCTCAGAAAACCCAAGGGGCAGTTCTACCCTGTCCTAGGGGTGACTATGAGTTAGAATTGACTCAGTAGCAGTGAGTTTTAAGTGCTGACCTGCTAATAAGCACAAGGTGGGTGATTAAAACCCACCAGTGTTTTTTGGGAGAAAGATGAGGCTGTCTGCTCTTATAGAGATTGACAGTCTCAGAAACCCTGCATAGAGTCACTAAGAGACAGAGTCTACCTGATGGCAGTGGTGGTTTTATTTATTTTTTCTTCCCTCTTTCCCACTAAGACAAGAGGAATTTGAACATACAGTACAAGAAAATACTTAGGTTTAGAGTTTGGGGATGGGAGGTCAGGAGTTTTTGATAGGGAGCTTGATTTTACGAAGGGGAAAGGTATGTACGTTTGAGGGGGATTGGATTGATAATAGTATTTTTAGTATTATGTACATACACACAATTCTCTGTCAAAAGCTATTTCCCTCTGCTGACCCAAAGGCTTTTATGATGAAGTGGCTAGACTCAAGTTAATCTCACTTCTCTCTACACTCGGACAATTCTGTTCATGGAATCATTTTTAAAAAGGAAGTAGGCTCACAAGGTGGCAAGATGCAAGCAGAAACCGAAAGAACAGTTTTACGGCTCTGAGGTAGGAGACTTTTACCAACTGCCAAAGTAAAATCAGTCATGCAGAACACAAGCCCCCCTGACTTCCACATTAACCTTGGGATCCCTTTTCTGTTTCACACTCAGAAAGCAGACTTTACACACACACACACACACACACACACACACACACCCCTCCCAGGGACACACACACACACACACCCCTCCCAGTGGGACAAACAACGGAAACCATGGGGGAAGGAAGACAGTGATCAGTGTAAGAAATGAAAAGAATAATAATTTAGAATTTATCAAGGGGCCACGAGAGGGGGGAAGGGAGGGAAAAAAGAAGAGCTGATCCCAAGGGCTCAAAGAGAAAGTAAATGTTTAGAAAATAATGATGGCCACATATGTACAAATATGCTTGATACAATTAATGTATGGATTGTTATAAGAGCTGTAAGAGCCCCCAATAAAGTCTTTTCATTAAAAAAAAGCAGACTTATATAAGTTCTGTAATAAGAGCCTACCTTAGGAACACATAAGTAAACAGATCTAGCTCTTTGCTTCTGCTCTTTGGTGTACTTTCTTCTAGGGAGCTAAAATTCTGGGTATCACAGGATTTGTAAGTCCTTAAACTTTTTGAATGTGCGACTGTTTTTCTGTGGAGTTTCTTTTTCAGTTTCCACAAGTACCTTGCAGTCACGTCGCTCTGCCTAATAAACAAATTTACACCCAAGACCCAGGAGAGCAGCTTCTTCATTTCATCATTATTGCATCTTTTCCATTCCCTTTCCCGACTCTTTTATCATTTCTACAAGCCACATACCTGCTTTAGGGTAGGTAGAAATGAGCAAATCATCAGGCTTGGCTTGGAAGTTCCAGATCTGATCCCAAGATTCACAGGTGGGTGTGGGTTGAAGAATTCCCTTCACATAGTTGACGGTTATACGTTCCTCTGGGGTGATTTTCAAATCCTTAATTTTGTTTAAGTCCATGCTGGGAGAAGTTAGAATTCTGAAAGAAAAAAAGTTACCTCTCAGTTAGGACAAGGCATATGTTCTTGATATTTTACATAGAAAATCCGAAATTGAGACCACAAACTGTGATGACCTTTAGCTGAAAAGAAATAAACACAGCGACCGGCCTGTGAGAGCCTGTAAGCAAGGAGCAATAGTGACAGGCCTGCTGGGTGAAGTTTTTCAGCAGCTATTGTTTGGGGCTTTACACACAGGAATTTCTCCCAGCCCTCCCTCTATGAGGTAATAGCAGAGGCGGCTACAAATCCTGACTTTTGTTTCGTTTTCTCCTGCTCTCCTACTTCAGTTTAAGGAGAGTTAGCCTCACCGTACGTGTTCACAAATAATTCACAGATACTTGCATGAATTGTTTCTCCTGGGAATTTTAAACTAACTGAAAAATCCGTGGGTGACTTGGCCTGTGTAATATTACATTACAACATAGGCTAATGTTTCTGCCAGGCTGAGGGGGTGTTTCTGTGATCTGTAGACAAAGAGATCCTAGTTCCTGAACTTCCCACGTGTTGGAAAGGGTCAACCTTAACTGTTCTAGACAAAAGTCAGACTGCGTATGAATTCCGTGCCAACTATTAACTATAGGACTACAAGCAACTTATTGAACCTCTCAACTTTACATTTTCTTCATGTGTAAATTAAAGATCATAACAGTATTTTTCTCAGTGGCTTTATGGGAACTAAAATAGTATACAGTATTGTGTTTAGCATGGTATCTATCAACTGGGAAACATCCAATAGCGTTTAGTTATTAATAATATTGACGGCTATTGCACACTGCGATAGCATTTTGATGACATACCCGTACTGAACCAGGAAGAGGTGTGCTACACTCCAAAATAACTGCTGATTCTTCTAAAATGTACAGATAGAACCCTGAGAATATCTATGGTATTAGGGGTGTGGGATGATGGTGCAAATGATATAACCTTAACCCCTTTGGGGGTCAAACAACCCTTTCACAGGGGTCGCTAAATACATCCTGCAGATCAGATATTTACCTTACGAGTCATAACAGTAGCAAACTTACAGTGATGAAGTAGCAATGAAAGTAATTCTATGGTTGGGGGATCACCACAACATGAGGAACTGTATTAAAGGGTCACAGCATTAGGAAGGCTGGGAGCCGCTGGCCTAGATACTTCAGGGTGAACGTTTGGGTCATCTTGTCAAGCAAAGAACCAAAGTGAGCTGAGCTATTTATTGAGGGCAACAGGGATACAGAATGGGTGGTGGAAGAGGGTAGTTGTAAATCTATTTATTGGGGGCAACAGGGATACAGAATGGATGGTGGAAGAGGGTAGTTGTAAATCTATTTATTGGGGGGCAACAGGGATACAGAATGGGTGGTAGAAGAGGGTAGTTGTAAATATCAGCTTTGTCCATGAACACTATAATTGTTATGAGTATTTCTCCCTTGTACATATATACAAAAACATTTTTTTGTTACTTTATAAGATATTAGCTATCAATCAGGTTCATCTGGTCTCTGTTGTAGGTGTGGTAGTTGTATAATGTTAAGTATAAACAAGGCTTTGTCATTGCCTTTGTTTAGCAATCATGTATGGTTTAAGGAGACGTGTCTGGGTGTCAAGTTGAAAAAGGGTGGAATGTGGTCAGTCAGTTCTGTGCCGACCTGGCTGACTAGGATTTTCAATGGCTTGGCACTTGCTGTTAGGTGCTGTTAGTCCCCACTCATCGTGACCCCATGCTCTACAGAACGAAACACCGCCTAGTCCTGGGCCATCCTCACAATTGTTCTTCTGCTTGAGCCCATTGTTGACGCCATTGTGTCAGTCCATCTTCTTGAGCGCCTTTCTCTTCCACCCCCTCTCCCCCAGCTGGCCCTCAAATTTTACCAAGCATTTTGCCCTTTTTCAGGGACTGATCTCCCCTGCTAAGACAGTGGTTCTCAACCTGTGGGTTGCGACCCCTTTGGGGATCCAACATCCCTTTCACAGGGGTCACCCAATTCACAACAGCAGCAAAATGAGAGTGATGAAGTAGCAATGAAAATAATTGTATGATTGGGGGGTCACCACAACATGAGGAACCGTATTAAAGGGTCGCGGCATTAGGAAGGTTGAGAGCCACTGTGATGATATGTTTAAAATATGTCAGATGAAGTCTCTCCATCCTCACTCCTAAGAAACATTCTGCCTGTAATTCTTCCATGACAGATTTGTTTGTATTTTCAGTATTTTTTGCAAGCAACGGAACTCAAATGTATTGATTCTTCTTCTGCCTTCCTATTCATTGTCCAACTCTCATGTGTATATTGGAGATTGAAAATACCATTGCTCGGGTCAGGCACACCATAGTCCTCAAAGTAACATTCTTGCCTTTCAATTTTAAAAAGGTCTGGTGCAGTAGATTTACCCAATGCAATGTGTTGTTTAACCTCTTGACTGCTGCTCCTGTGAACCTTGATTGTGGATCCAAGCAGGATGGAATTCTTTACAGCCTCAACCTTTTCTCCATTTGTCATGATTGATCCAATTATGCACACTTGATCCAATTGTGAGAATTTTTAGTTTCTTTACACTGAATTGTAATCCATACTGAAGGCTGTAGTCCTCCATCTTCATCAGCAAGTGCTTCAATTACTCCTCACTTTAAGCAAGCAAGGTTGTACCATCTGCATATTGCAGATTGTTAATAAGCCTTCCTCCAATCTTGATGCCACATGCTTCTTCAGAAAAGCCAGCTGCTTGGATTAATTGCTCAGCCCACAGATGAAACATGTTTGGTGAGAGGATACAACCCTGAAACATACCTTTCTTCATTTTAAAACCAGGGAGTATTCCCTTATTCAGTTTACATCACTGCTTCTTGATTTTGGACTATATTATTTACAATCTTTGGGTCACAGCACTGGTGTGTTCCTCCCACGTGGACTTAGTTGATGCAGGATTCCTTTACTTCTGAAGCCGGAAACTTCTCACCTGCCTTTATCTGGTGTTCACCCACCCCTGCACCTACTCAAGTCAGGAGAAGCCTCCAACCTGAATCTGATCCATGGACTTGAACGTTGCTGCCTTTACAACGGTGTGAGCCATTTCCTTGTAAAAAACCTTTCTCTATGTATGCCTGTGTAAGCTTCCCTGGTTTTGCTTTTCTAGAGAGCCCAGCCTAAGATCTACATGTTTTCGCTTTGGCTAGTGTTTGTATATGAAATCAGTGAAGAGTTTTTGGGTTTTCCATAGTCTTCAGCCCTAGTTTACTGTTAGCAGATGGATGAATACTAGAGCCAATGTCTGACATTAGCATTCTTGGAATCTCTATGTGTTTAAAGCAATTTATGAAAACTACATTGAATTTTTTTCAGTTTAATTTCTTTGTGTAATCTTTTCAAAGCTGTACATAAATAGAGTGGTGGATGCATTGAATGTTACGTATACAGTGTTCTGGGAGTTGTGTAGAAGGGAGAGATGAAGGATATATTCTCCTTTCCAAAAGATGATTTTGAAAGGTTGAAAATGTTGTGATGGGATATCAACTTGATTCTAAAGAGACCCTGGAGAGATGAAAATGTAATAATTTGAAAACAATCATTACTACACATATTGGTCTTATTCTCATTTACCACATTCACTCAAGAGTACTTCCTCCAAGGGTCTTGAGAAATGAACAAAGAAAATTGGAGCTAAGTCCACATTCTGCAAGTATTGCTCTGGAATTCTAAAAATCTGTGTTTGAATCCAAACTGTCACTCAGTAGCTGTGGAACCTTTTAAATTATGTATTCTCTCTCTCTCTCTTTTTTTAGGGTGCTCATTTATTTTTATTTTAATTAACAGATCACTTTATTGAGGGCTCTTACAACTCTATTACAATCCATTCATCAATTGTATCTGACATGTTTGTACATATGTTCCCATCGCTCTTTTCTAGACATTTACTTTCTATTGAGCCCTCTTTTTCCCCCCTTTCCTCCAACCCCACCATGGATTCTCCTTTGAGTTGATAATATCTAACAGGATTAGTGTAAGGATTGAGATACATATGTATATAAAAGAAGGGCAACAGGAGGGCTAGGCAGGTAAGGGAAGGTCCTTAGCTATCCATAGGAGCTTAAGTTAAATATTAAGCTGGGAAAGGGTAGATTTTGAAGAACTCAGAGCATGGGAGCAAATGTTTCCATGTGTAATCTGTACACTAATCTTATGATGTAGAAAGTTTTATTCTTAACATACAGATTTAAAAATGGACAACCAGATAAAAACAAGAGGCTCCATTTTTGAGGGTCAATTTCGTGAGGACTACCTTTCTTTTGTGTCTGGCTGCTGTGCGCAAGTACATTCCATTTCAAAGTTGTTGTTGTGTGTTGTGGAGTGAATTCGATTCAGATTAGAACTGCCCCATAGGGTTTCCCAGGTTATAATTTTAAGGGGACCAAATCAATTAAAATTGTGTTTCCTCTTGTACAATTGCTGGTGTGTTTGAATCACAGACTTTCAGATTAGCAACTGAGCTCTTAACCATTGGGCCACCAGGGGTCACTTGCCCATTTCAGTAGAGCCCTACAACCTACAGAGGTGGGATGTGGGCAGAGGCTCCCTTTCAGCAATTGTGCCCTGGGAAAATCTGCCTACTAGTAAACAGGTCAGTGCGGAGGGGAGGCGGGGTCTCACTTTCTCCATGAAGATAAGGCTAGAGGTGGAGCTCTCCAGGCTACACTGTCGGCACCTGGAGCTTTAGCATGGGAACTCACAGCTCGATCAGCAGAAGATTTTAGACAGTTCTGCAATAAAACCCAAGTTGACTACCAGCTATCTGGAATGTTTGCTTAAAATGAATGACTCACTTGACAAGGCGACTGTATAACATATATTGATAAAAGCATTTTCTAGCTGAATAAATTGAAAGCCTTTGTAACATGTGGCCTTCAAGGTCTTTAAAGGTTAGGAGAGTAAATTAAGATTACACATGCTAAATGACTATTACACATGGAGATATTCCACCCAGGTTAAAGTTACCCACATTAGACCTTTGATACCTGGCAAGGTGTGTCAATTTTTTTATAATGATAAGACCAGACCTTATAAAGCTGAAGAAATAAGCCCAAACCAAAATCCTCTATGGAATTCAATTTTCCTTTGGGTCCACAAAATTCAAAATTGAAGACCGTTAGTAAGAATTCTCTGGCTGACACTAATTGCTTTCAGTGCTTACATGATACACACATGAA